AAAGGCATTATACCTGATTAAAAAACTGACTGCAGTTCAGTGCTCAAATTTCCCAGGATTGAATCTTAGGGCCAATTAAAATTCAGAGATGCCCATACTGCCAGTGAGACTCATCCAAAGCAATGAATCACACAGATTAAGAAAAAAAGCTTTATTAAGAAGATCAAAATGATTGTGTGTTAACTTGAACAGCTAGGATGCCCAAGGAAAGATCTGGAATCTGATGTCCTCCAAGACCTGGATGGGAAAACAAAAACAACTTATTTYAAACTGATCATTCTTCCATTTTCCATTTACAGAAATTCTGATCATCCCTCAGACAGTTCCTTCTGGAACAAGCTTTCCTCTTCTCCCCCAGCCAGCCCCAGTGGGTTCACCTTTACAGGCTCTGGGWCTAGGACAGGAAGTAAGACGTGTGAAATGTTTCTTCATTGGRAAATTTTTAGCTTACTGTACTTTACCTTCACCTTAGTCCACTTACCTTTAACTTCAGGTTTAAGTTAGGCAGACATGACTTGCTTTCTCTGTAATGGAAAGAGATTAGGAATTAAGTCATCTATTTATTGCTTAAAGGAAAAGCACACTTCATAGAAATCTAGTCTTAGAAAGTTATTGGCTATAAAGCCTATCCATCTTCTTATTGCTATAGTTTACCACTGTTAAGATGAGCTCACAACTCAGAGTGTACCTTTCTGTCACAATGATCAGACTGGGGCGGTATTCAACTCATCACTGGTGAGCAGGAATTCACCACTGGTGATCCAAATATGGCTACTCAGACCAAAGTATCACCACACACGATMTATGCCATATGATAGCCATAAATATTGAAAAGGTATGTACCTCAAATAACTCCTGGGATKCAGACAAGATGCTAGACCTAAAACAAACAAGATCAAATGAGTAATGCTTATGTCCTGCCTCAGTTATCCCCACCTATTATTTCTAGGAAATCAGATTTCCGAGTCTCAACAGCAAAACATCAGCCGAACGAGATTCCATAAGTCATCATATATATTTGCCGAAAAAGGCACTTTTCCCTRCCCAATATGCTATATATACTTAACACATACTGAAATTACTCACCTTTGAACAAGTAGATATTGGTAACAGCACCTGAAACTTAAGAGCAGATAAAATACTATGTATATGTGGCATATCAGGATATTGCCCCACTTCTATATCCTTCAGTTTCTCAGGTGTTCATATATTTTCATTGTCAATCATAGTGAGCTAGTTTGGGTCATCATAGAAACTTCCTACTTGGTGGCATAAGCCATGAATCAGGAAAAAACCCTACTAACCTGCTAACGCTGGAGTATTTTCAGCAGTATATGGAAATGAGTTGCTCCTGAATCAGAAAAAACACTAAATTAGCAAAGTACTCAAAATATCCAGCTACTATTAATGACAAGCAAAGCAAATGCTATTGCCATTTGCTGGACCTCATGGAACCAAGTTTCCATCCTCTCTCCCAGATACACCAGTGGGTTCACCATTATTGGTTCTGGGACTAGAGCAGGGGGTTAAGATGTTTGTTCTTACTGGCACTGTAGTCTTGACAAGCTATAATTGGCAAGCACTCACCCCTTCAAACTTTTTTTCAGTAGCCTGACCCTGGGCAGATCAATGACTGTCTACAAATCAGCTTTAAGGCAGAATCAGGGCTCTTGTAACCAATATCACGATGGTAAAGCCACCCTACAAATGATAATATGCTCTTTTTTAAAAAAAAAAAATATTTATTTTAGTTTTTGGCAGACACAACATCTTTGTATGTGGTACTGAGGATCCAACCMGGCCACACACATGCCAGGCAAGCGAGCTACTGCTTGAGCCACACCCCAGCATGATAATATGCTTATTTACATAATTTAGAATAGCTATTAGTAGAAGCAACTTACCATAAAATGGGAAAATGTTGTTATCAGGAAAACCTGGGAAAGAGGAACATGTGGTTATTAAGTATTAGGATGGAAAGACATTTTTTTTCAGCAACAACAACTGCCATCAGAACTCTAACATGCTATTTACTGTTGTACCTCACAGATCATCAGCATACTGATTCAAATCATCTGACAGTGATATATGGATGAGAGAAGAGCACACCATTACAAGAACCAATTGGTATATTGGTTGCTGTCTTCCCTCCCCCAGAAAATTGCTCCAAAAGGAACCAGATGGATAAGGTGGATGGAGCAAAAAGGCAACAAACACAGCTCCATTGACCATTTGCCCTCCTGTTTGTGGAGAACAATTGTGATAAAATAATCAGAGATCCCATTCTATGAATTACCTGCATTCACTCTTGGGGATAATCAAATTCCTCAGGATAGGTCATGAGATGCATAGACAAAAATGGGACTGGTTAAGTGCCCCTGGGTTCGATCTCTGATTAAAAAAAAAAAATTATTTGTACCTGTAAGAATTACCTTCAAAAGTACTCTAAACCCCTGGCCCACTCCTCAGGATTAAGATGACATCACTTATAACTCAGTCATATGCTTGTCATTTTATGTTCATCACAGAGTGGTTATCCAGAAACRCTCCCTTTCCATAAGCCATATATACCTACATGGAGGATCGCTGTAATTGCAGGAATGATCTCCGTGCATTCTCCAAACACCACGCATCTTTGAGCTGAAGCACATCTGAAAATAGAACACCCTTCACTAACACCTCAACTTAAAGCCCAAGGAAAACAAAACAAACTCCTGGGTAGCGCTACTCAGAACTTTTACATTTTCTCCACTAAACCATCAGAAAGAGAGAGTTCAAATCGTAAATCATCCCTGTAGCACATCCAATAGTTCTTCCAGCCCACCAAAGAACAAGAACTAGACGGCCAAAACCACTTACTCCAACCAGAGGGCTGTCTTCGATTGTTGTGTGGGGAATGTGCGCCTTGACCCTGCAGACAAAACATTAGATTAGTAGAGGATATTTTAAAAATGCTTTCTACAAAGCAACGGCCGCAGGGGACACAAGCTGTGCAGCGCCGGTCTCCTCAGAGTTACTTATCCTCACGGAGTTCAGTACAGGTCTGTGAAAATGTCCTCATCACTGGGAGGGCGCCTGGCTCGGCCCGCTACCGCCATTTTGTCCTTCACAAAGCCCCAATGCTTAGGAATAACTGAATAGGTCCGGGAGATCTTCCCTCCCAGCCCGCCAAYAGGTAAGACAACAGAGATCTGGAGCGCGCGACCTAATGGCTATAATGGCAGCGACTTCGGGGGTAATGACAATAGAATCGATAGGTCGAGTTCAGGTTAGGCAGCTTAACAAGACTCAAAAGTCAAAAAGAGTGGCTCAGTGGCTGAAATACCGCTGAGCCCAATATCCCATGCCSCAAAACTAAGACAGAACTGAGAAACCCACCAGCCCATGTACTCACCAGAGCCTGGAAGGAAAAATGAGACCGAATAAAGCGACGCGAGACCCTTAAATACTTTCACGCAAAGGCCCACGGGATTGGGGGCGGGCACAAAGCGAGCGCACGCGCATATGGCACGCCACCACAACCTTGAGGAATTGTGGGTTGAGAATTCTAGGGAAGGGCGGGTGTCGAACGCTCGGTCACAGAACTTGAGGCGCGAAAAAGAAGCGCATGCGCCCCATGGGAGTGCGCAGGCGCGCCGAGCGGTTTGCGGCTCGGCGGCTCTGGCTTTACTGCGGGTGTGGCCGCAATTCTGAAGATCCCTGCTTGGAGCGGATCCTGGGCTAACTGTTCCGGTCACCGCTAGGCCTACCCCTGCACCCTGCCCTGACTTCCCTCTTACATCCCCACACGTTACACCTGTGTGCAGACCCGCCTCCATGGATTCTGAACCTCATGAGCCCTCRACCCGCGACCTCTCCATCCCGCGCCAGCCTCCCAGCGCCCTTTCAGGGGCTGATGTCCAGGGTTACAACGCGGGGGGCGACTCAGGTACTGGGCCCCGTGCTGACCTCTAGTGGAAGTCCCATATGGGGAAAGTAAGTCAGGGTGTAAGTACTCCACTTAATTCTGAAGACAGGTCTGATTTGTCCTGACTGGCCACCCTTCTGTCTGATCCTATTTTGCTAGGAGCCTGGCCTGTAATAATAAGACTGACATCCGGGGACGTTCAGGAAGCACTGCTTTTTTTTTTTTTTTTCTTTTCTTTTCTCATCGGTGCCCGGGATCGAACTCTGGGTATTATGCATGTTAGGCAAAGGGATCTACCATCGAGGTACACAACCTAGCCTGAAGCACGATTCTTTTGAGGCACCGGGGATTGAATTCAGGGTCACTCAACCACTGAGCCACATCCCCAACCCTGTTTTGTATTTTAGTTAGAGACAGGGTCTTGCTGAGTTGCTTAGGGCCTCACTAAATTGCTGGGGCTGGCTTCGAACTCTGGATCCCCCCGCCTCAGCTTCCCGAGCCGTTGGGATCACAGGAGTGCGCCTTTGCACCCGACCCTGGAGCACGATTTTAAGCATGCAGTATGAGTTGATTAATTTAATCCTCTATAATTCCTGTTTTATAGATGAATGACCTTAGGTATAAAGGGCCCGAGGAACTGCTTACAATTTCCTCCTGATTTTCTGGGTTGCAATCAACTAAAGGGTATCGTTACTGAGATCAACCGGCATTCATAGACACCCATGTACGAGCGTGCGTTAAGCTTACTAGGTACTCTTTTGCATGACTTCACTTAATACTGYTACCTTGGGAGGAAGCTGTGAAGGTAATGTTATAGATGAGGAGCCTGAGGCCTAGAGAGGTTAAGTAACTCTAGTGTTACTTTGCTAAGTCATACCAAAGCCATGTTAAAAATACAGTCAGTATGATTTCAGAGTCTGCTTCTGACATCTGAAGAAAGTTGGGGAGCAGGCAGTGACACAGGAAACAAGTGGAATAATCCTTGGGCGCTGTTTCTTAATCTTTTTTTGTCACCCTGCCTAACCTAAAAAGTACTTTAAAAAAAATATTTGATTTTTAGGTGTAGATGGACACAACACAATGCCTTTATTTTTATRTGGTGCTGAGGATCGAACCCGGGTCCCGCCCATGCTAGGYGAGCGTTCTACTGCCAAGCCACAATCCCAGCCCCTGAAAGAATTCCAATTTGAGTTAAGTTATAGACTGGTGTGAATCAATTTATTCAATAACTAATAAGTTCTTATTTTGTGCATGATACAACATATGGGGCAAGAGAAAAAGACACTCTGCTTTAAGAGATTTTGGTCTGGTTGGGAGGGCATTAARATGTGCATATAAAGACCCTAAATACAGATTGAAAAGTTGTAACAAAATGTATAAAAAACAGAAAAGATAAGCTGAAAAATGAAGGTCTAGAGTAGGCAGACAGTACTGGGGAGGTTGAATGTAGGAATGAAAATTGGGGATATGCTTTATAGAGTATTATCTAATCTGGAAGGATAGATAAACAGACTGGAGGGAGGGAATTCCTAGTTAAAACAATTTGAGCACAGATTTGGTGCCAGCAAAGAAGTGTATCAATAAAATTCATGAAAGTTAGGTTAAAGGGGAATGATAGAATATAAAACTGGGAAAGATTTCCAAGGAAAGGCCGGCAGGGGAGCCAGGCATGATGGCTCATGCTTGTAATCCCAGCAGTTGGAGACTGAGGAAGGAGGATCACAGTTTGAGGCCAGCCTCAGCAATTTAGCGAGGCCCTAAGCAACTTAGTTAGACCATGTTTCAGAATAAAAAATAAAAAGGGGGCTCATTGGTAGAGCACCCCTGGGTTTGAACCTCAGTACCAAAAAGAGAAAAATAGAATATTTAAATCATTGGGATTGTAGGTAGTGAGAAAGAAGCTAGTAAAAGTTGAGCAGGGGTTGAGGAAAAATTAGGAAATAAGAGGGAGAGAAAGACATTAATTTGATTGTCACAGTAGTTTAAGCAAGAGGTAACTGGATTCTACACCAATAAGTGAATTGGCAGTGGAAATATAGGGTAGGGAATTTAAGTCAGGGGTCTCCAACTTGTGTACCTACAAAAATCAAGCAAGTTTTGCAAATGAATGATAGAAACTGGGTAGCTTTGATTCAGCTCCAGCTGATTGTTGCCTTGCTGGAATATTTTCCCCATGTGATTGTATGGTTAGAGTTTTCAAGAGAAGAGAATCCAGAGTTATGTATTAATTTACTCTTTTGAAAATGTTGACATCTTGGGGCTGGGGATGTGGCTCAAGCGGTAGCGCGCTCGCCTGGCATGC